TTAATTTACGCAAAATAATAAGGAAATAAAGATACACGAATTCATCACATGAGATCGTCAAGGAACAGTTTCAACGAAAACTGGGAAGAGGAGTTGAGCATAATTTTAGGAAAGACCAATTGCCCAACAAACCTTATTCAATTCGACGAAGGCCTTCCAAAATGACCGCGGAAACGGAAAACACCTAGACATCTTGTGGTCAAAAAGACTACTGATTGATCGGAAATTTCAGACGATTTTTCTCTCAGACGTGACAATGGCTCTGGAAGAACGAAACCTTAACGCTTATGATTTCTGATGAAGTCCAAAGGTTATTTATAATTTTACAGAGCAAGAAATCCCTATTGGACTTCGACTAGAAGTCCTAACGCAGCTTGTTGTCACGCTTAATATTTTTCTTTTTTGAGAATTTATCACCCTTAATATTAATGTTATCAGAAAAATAAATTATCACAAATAAGTGACATTATTATTAGAGACTTTATTTCTGAAAAAATAGACTAGTAGTTCTTTAGATATGTATCAAAATCTATTTGTTTGTATTTTTTTTTAATTTAATGTGATTTTGACTAAATTTAACGGTAAAAATTAGAACTATCTTACGACTCCCTCAATTGTTAATATTACATGTCACGCTTATCTTTTCAATTTCTCATTTTTAAATTGATGCAAAAACGACAATGCGTTTGACAACGCGAAAATTTCCGAGGATTTTTTTTTGAAAGTGACCGACATCTTTATTTTTTATCTTCTTTTAATGAAATATGTTTTATTTCATTTTTTGAGAAATGTTTTTTTTTTTAATTTTCTTTTCAGAATACACACGTCAGATTTTTCGCCCAATAAAAAAACTACTACTAATCGTTTGAATGGAATACCACGTGTCATTTCCCAAAGCAAAGTACAATAAATTTTGAACAGCAAACTCAATGTCGCGTCAAGAGTAATCTACTTGAACCAAAACGTTGAATTAAGAGCCCGTTTAGTTCGTTGATTCGAGTTTTAAATTCGAGTTAAGATGTGACTTTATGTAAGAGTTTTTATTGTAGTAAAAAAGTTAAATGTAATTATTTCTTAGAACTTTTTATTATAACAAAATTTGAATTCTAAACTCAAATCGGTGAAGTGACTTTATGTCGTTTTTATTATGTCACGTCCTTTAAATCCAATGTTTAAATCAGTACATATAAGCCATAGTTATCTCTCTCACCGAATCATGCGAGTGTTTCTTTGCGTTACTTGTCATCATAAGAAGAAAACAATGACTCAAGTAACTTGTTATTTCTTACTCACCATGAAGTATTTGGATGTCTGCCATTTTATGTGAACACGTTCAAACCAGTGCTGAACTTTCAGGCAGTGGGCCTGCCTGATGCCCGAAAATTTTCAGGCACGGCGGGCAGGCCCCTCTCGCCGCCCGAAAATGCTTTTCTTCGGGCACGGGCTCGGGTAGCCCGAAAAGAGTAAGCCCCCCGACAGGCCGCCGCCGTGGAGAAGCCGTCCCCCGCCGTTCGCCGGATTTTTTTTGAATTTTCCGGCAATACCCGAAGCTGCCCGAATTTGTACCCGAATTGCCCAAATTTTTTGTGACCGTTGCCCGAATTTTGGTGACCGTTGCCCGAATTTTGCCCCGTGCCTGAAACATGCCCGATTTTTTTTTTACCGTTAGCCCGAAAAATGCCTGAATTTTGAAAAAAAAATGATCTTCTGCCCGAACCCGAACCCGAATTTTGCCCGAATTTTTGAACCCAACGGTCGGATTTTGTGCCGTTGCCCAAACTGCCCGATTTTTGCCTGAACTGCCCAAAAATTTTGTAGCCGTTGGACCCGAATTTTTGGGGAAAAAAATTTTTTTTCAACCCAAAAATTTTCCTATAGATACCCCCCCTCCCCCCAACCATTTTCCTTACCCCAAAACTCTCATTCTCTCTCAATTTCTCTTAATCTCTCTCAAATCTCTCTTAATCTCGCTTAAATCTCTCTCGAATCTCGATCTCTCTTAAGCTCTCTCAAAGCGCTCTCAATCTCTCTTATTTTTCATAATGGCTTCTTCTGGTTATGGTGGTGATATTCCCATTGATGTCCAATTCAACGAAGGGCAATTTCCTCATGTTTTTCAATCGCAGGAATCGCAAACTATGGAAAGAGTTGCTGATCAAACTGCAAATCCGACCCCTGGTGGACGTACTAGAGGTCGGGGACGCAATGGTGGTGGCACAAGTGGCCGTGGAGGAGAGGCAAGCGGTAGTGCTAGTGCAAGTGTTGCAACTTCTAAGAAGAAATGCAAGCGCACCTCAGCAGTTTGGGAGCACTTCAACACATTCGAGGACGTCGACAATAACGGTAACATTAAATACGTAGCTCAATGTAAATATTGTGGTGAGAAATTACAAGGTAACACTATTCACGGCACTACACACTTAAGAAGGCACTCTGAAAAGTGTCTTCAAAAGCAAGGAGGCGGAGATCAGCTCCGCCAAACGCAATTATCGTTTGACCGCTAAACCGGCGGTCTAAGCACGTGGAAATACGATCCGCAAGTTGATCGTATGGAAATGGCACGATTAATAGCCACATTAGATCAACCACTAAGTTTTCCTGAACAAAGAAATTGGCAACGTTATATTAAAATTGTACATAATCCTAATGCACAATTTTTTTCTAGAACTACTCTTAGGAAAGATGCATTAAAATTATATAAACAAGAAAAGGAAACATTAATCAACCTTCTACACTCTACTAGTGGTTGCGTTGCGTTAACGGCGGATATTTGGTCCACTATTACCAATAAGGATTATTTAGCTGTAACCGGACATTATTATAAAGGTTTTGATTTGGATAAGAGAATCTTACGTTTCAAATGTGTTATAGGATCACATACTGCCAATTTAATATATAACACAATTTTATCTGTTATTGATGAATATAGTTTAAGA